TAGGCGGTGACGACGCCTTTGCCAGTGCTCGTGTCGACCAATCAGTGTCGCGGATCAGTAGGACTCAAAGTCGAGTCCTAATTGATTCCAACAATTCCCCTTTAAAGAACGTTTTTTTTCTTTCTCATTTCCTTCATGTCATTCATCAGTTCCAACAACTCCCCCCCCCTTCCAATCCACTGATCGCGCGCAAGCATCACACTGCACTTTATGTCCTATAATCCCCATTAATAGTAACATACTCGTGACTAAAATCGCAAGTCCAAAACACCGCCTCCTCACCCTCCTTCTTACTCAACCGCACTACAATCTCCAAGTCTTCATTTTCCAGTATCTTCGCCGCGCGCTCCTCATCGACTTGCTCGGGCTCTCCATCCACCAGCAGCTTGAGCTCCGCACTGCCATCTGCGGGTACGAAACTCACGCTCGTCTCAGCAGGGACGACGGAATCTGCGCCTTCGGCGTAACCCGTTGCGCACAGGATGCGGCCCCAGTTTGCGTCTTTGCCGTACAAGGCGGTTTTGACCAAGGGGGAGCGAGCGATGGTCGAGGCAACGCGGTGAGCATCTTTATACGATGCAGCGTTTGTAACACGGATGGTAACGAACTTTGTCGCGCCCTCGCCATCTCTGACGACAAGCTTCGCTAGATCGACTGCGAAATCAGTGAGTACGCGCTGGAAGGCGGTGTAATCTGCGCTGTCGACCGAGGTAACGGGTTGGCCGCCGCCCGCACCGTTGGCTAAGACGGCAACGGTGTCGTTGGTGGAGGTGTCGCCGTCGATGGAGATGCTGTTGAAGGACTTTTGAACGGACGCAAGCAGTGCTTGACGTAAGGGATGGGCGGCAATGGGGGCGTCGGTGCAGATTATACCGAGCAGAGTGGCCATGTTGGGGTGGATCATGCCCGCGCCTTTGGTCAGACCTGCTATGCGGTATTCCTGTTGGGTACTGGGTAGGGTGAAAGATCGGGAGAGGAGCTTGGGGAAGGTGTCGGTGGTGCAGATTGCACGGGCGGTGGCAAGCCAGTGGTCGTGAGAGTCGCCCAGGTTGGCGTATGCGGTGGGAATTTTGGAGGTGATTTTTTGGATGGGGAGGCGCTGGCCGATGACGCCGGTGCTCATGACGATGCTGCGGCTGCCTTTGAGGTCGTCTTGTGAGCTGCCGTCGCGGGCGAAACATGCGTCGGTCTCGTTGCCCATGGTTATGGCGTCTTCGATGCCGCCTCGGCCGGTGACGGCGTTGGCGCAGCCCGAGTTGACAACGATGGCCCTGATGCCCTCGCCTTTCCTCTTCTTCAGCATGTCCCTGCTGACTGTGACGGGCGCGGCCTGGAACTTGTTGGTGGTGAAGACAGCTGCTCCGGCGCACGGCTTGTCCGACGCTACAATGGCCAGGTCATCGAACCGCGTGTTGGATGCCTTGACACCAACATGTGCGCTGCCAGCCTTGAAGCCGCGTGGATAGGTACCAGAAGTAGGTACATACTTCTTTTTGGCTGGTGGGATGGCGCCGTCGCCAATTGCGGCATACGATCGTATTTGGGTTGCGAAGAGGCGATTTGTGCGTGTGAAGAAGCGCGGATTTGAACGTGAAAGAGACATGATGGCGATTTCCAAAGCAAATGAAGCTCAATTGCACTGCAAGTAGCTGTTAGAGGTGGCCAGTGTATGGATTCAAGGACTAGGCAATGGCTACGACGCAAAGGCAGACGATGGCCTGTACATTGGACGACCAAAACGTACCCTTGGACCTTTTTAATCCCTCGCAATGCCCAGTGACTCACTCAGTTGACGTCCTGCGCCTTGGTGGTCTTGCAATAAAAAAAATGGACAAGCAGTAAGCTCTGCGGCCGTTATCGCAGCCCGCCGAGCACCCGCCCCCAGGCTAGTCAAGCCCAACCCCTGCGCGTCTAGAGCAGCAGCGCGCCCACCGTCGAGCACACCAGGTGCCAGAAGAGAATCGTATATCGCGCAACCACGACGTGCTGCTTTTGCGCCAGAAACGGCACAATGATGAAGAGCACGGCGGCCGTTGGCAGACTGGCGAGGATGGACGTGCGCAGGCCACGCGAGAGCTGCATCACGATGGCTGCACAGTGTTCACTGAGCGTAAAGGGCATGCAGCTACCAGCGCTGTAGAGAACAAAAAACTGCAACGCCGTCAGGAGCAGCGTCGCTGCCAGCAGCACGTATTCGAGGTGATCGAGGCGGCGCTTCTCCTTTTCTGCCACCGCAACCTCCACCACGGGAAGCAGGGGTGGTTGTTGTTTCTTCTCAGAAGTAAAAGCAGAATACATTGTCAAAACGTAAAACAAAAAACGAGTAAGTAACTGCGATGCGAATATATCCGGATATCGGAGTGTTTACATCGGAGGGGGGAACGATCCAGACATTATATGTCCACGGCCCTCGTCTCCTCTTTGCATACGCGTTTTGGCCAAGTATAAACAGGCAATGCGAGATACAATTGTCTTGGAACCTGGTTAATGAAACAACCGGACCCTTGTTGTCCGACCATGGCAAACTCTTGGCCTCTCCGCCCTCCGTCTCGTTTGGCCTTGTTCGTTTCGATTAACTCTGACGCTACCCAGATGTCAGCAACCGGCACATCTAGCCCGCTATGCAGCGCTTACTTGCTGCATAACATGTTTATGAATTCCCTCCTCTGCAGCAGCCTCGTGGGATAAATTGTGAGCCCTTTCCGTCCTCTCAGCCTTGTTCTTTGCCGAAACTTGGCTGACGTCATGTTTTCTTTTGTGCAATCTCACATTACTATGTTCCCGTCCTCTTAATATCACCTCTAAGACGGGCGAGGAGCTTGGACAGGTCCAGATTCTGCTGTTGAACGTCATATCTACATTTTGGAGCAGGTATTGCTTTGAGGGTTGCGTAAGTGTCCTTAGATTTAAGGCAACTGCGATGTCGTAATGTTGGTGGTATTGCTCAGGGGCATATACTTAGTTGAGCAGAGCAAAACTGTAATACGCGACACGAGTATAAAGGTATGTTAGTTTCAATTCCAGCTACATAGTACAGTGGATGCTCTAACATTCTCGCAAGATGGTAATGAAGCAATCCTAAGCTGTCGACTATCCAGTCGTGAACTCTTGATGGTGCAATTTTGTAGGTTCGTCAATACCAAGAGTCAGGCATACTACCTCCCGTGCACGTACCGTAGCCCAGACCTCAACAATGTGGGGACTGCTAGTCCCAAGGATATCGTATTCCAGCCGCCGCCCAGCCTAGCAGTGTTATAGTAGCGAACCAACAGCCTCGAAAAGCTGTTTCTGTTTTTGAAAACTAGGTACTCACAACAGTGTTGGAGGTTCTTCCAGTTAACTTTATACCAACCATCGTTACACCGCCAAGACCCCAACGGTAGATGTATCCGACATTCGACCGGGTTGGACAGTATTCGATATTTCTCTGCCGCTCCATTCGGACCGATCCTTCCAGGCTGCGCGTTGGTCATTGGTGATGGTGATGGGTTTCGCGGGGGATTTATAAGATTAACAGGATCATTGGGCTCATCAACAGTTCTGTAGCTACTAGGTCTGTTAGAAAAACACTACTAAAAAAGCGCAAAGCTATTCTATGGAATGTCCTATATCTAGAGTTCAAGGGTTGTTTGAACAAGTCGAGGTATGTTCAAAACTACAATAAGACTGCATTTTGTTGTAAGAAACTCGTCAGTATCTCAATCGTCAACTTTTACAACGGAGGTTGCCCTTGCTGTCGAATGTTGGACGACTACTCATTAATCCTAAAATTTGGGACAATCATCTTTGGAGGCTTTATCTTAGGGGTGAAATATGCCGAAACTATGACTCAAAATATCACGCAAAGCTCTCACCTTATCCTATACTGTAGTGCGTTAGGGTGATATTGGGGTAGAGAAGCACGTGATTTGATGTTATGTACATGATACGAAGTAGTTTCACATGACTAAGACGGCTTCAATCTTCAAATCTACTTCAGAAATTGATAGCGAGATTGCTATCAAGCTCGTGTCGCACGTCGATATTTTATCTGCCACATACCTAGAAAGGAAATGTTACCTTTTTACCCCAGTAAACAAAAAGGAAGAATTATCTCATGCCATCTGTTCAACCAGCGGTCAAAACGCCCCCAGCCACCTCATCAAGAACAAGGCGCGCCATAAATAGAAAGAGGTAGAGGTTCCCAATGCTTCTGTATCGAGCAAAGGATATCTTCACGTTCTTCTTCCAACTCAGCTACCCGAAGAAATACGAGAAACAAAGTTGCTTCTCGCTCTATACACGCACTTTCTGCTTTGGTAGCTGCAAGATGACTCGCACACTTTTGTTCTAAGAAAGGAAAGTCCCTACTTTGGCACTTCAACATGAAAAGTTCGAGAAATTTCACGTATCAGCATAGTATGAGTTCGGCAACGAAACGACATCCCAGTCTACATGACATACAACTATTGTCAACCTCTTGCAGCAAAGCGGGAAGCATCCCAACTCTGAACTCTTTTAGGCAGGAACTCTATTTACTAACACATCTACACCGATCAAAGAGGGCGTACGCGTCTTGTGCTCTGTGTCAAACACAATCTAAGCAAAGAAAGGATAAGCGGGTGGTTGGGTAACTTTGTCTACTAAGTTGGTGCGCAAGCGCTGTGGCTGTAGAATTGTATGTGCTGCAGGGCAAAAGGTTCATGCCGCGAGGAAGAACGAAAAAGCAAATGTGTATTGAGTGGGGAAAGAAGCAAATATCTAGCGAATAGTCTTCTTGGTGACCGTGCAGGGGGAGGCTGAACGGCGACGTTGTATCGTAGAATGTTTTGCGGAGATAATAACTCGCGTCTTCTTTCTCTTCGTTTTGCTGTGATTTGAGATGGTGTTTGACGTCGTTATGACTACATACCTACTAACGCAACACTCATTTCCGGTTGTCCACACCTCTTCCACGGACGTAGTACATTTACTATCCAGAAAGCACGTAAACAAACCATATCTACTACCTACACCCGCCATGCGCTGTCACTCTCCACACCGCGCCTCCCCAGCCACTCCCGCGCAAAGATCTCTCTTTGCCAAACCCGTCCGAACATCCAAACCCCCAGCACCTCACGTGTTCAATGGCGGTCAGTCCTCACAGCCAATGAACTGTTGAGACGACAATCCCAATTGAGTCCCCCGAAAAAGCAAAACATGGACAACAGTCGAACAGCAACGACAAAACAGGGCAAATGCTCAGGTGGTAAACCGTGCATGCGTTGTTGTTGCGACTGAAGAAAACAACAAATCTTCTTTTAAATACCCCAGAATCATGCCGCAGAGGAATGAAAGCGACAGCAGCGTCAACACCAAACACCAACCATCATATCCTCGACTTGGACCCTCTTCGCATCACTGGTTCCAAGAATTATTTTGTATCAACTTTGCATATAACAATTCCTCAAGGAAAAAACATTGAAAACATACACGCAAAAATTGAATTGAGAAGTGAGACAACCAAAAAAAAAGAAGAGCAAGCGTTGCAAAAGACAAGACAAAGGAAAGAGACTGATTTTTTTTAATTCCCTTCGACATTCCCCGCGTAGCTGAGAAAAAGGGCGCCGGTCTTCCAGAAACCAAGTAAAACATCGGGGTAAAACTGGGTGTTTGATTCGGCTCGACATTTTTAGGACGACAACCTCGATTCCATCGTCTTAAGTCGGGAAAAACAACGACAACAGGAGGTACAACCGACAGTCAGAGAGGATGAGTCCTTTTTCCAAGGCATCTCTCATCCAAGCACGAAATGAGACAGCAGCAGCAGCGAGACCAACAGCAGTACAAAGTCTACGCTTGAAACCCACAATCATTGCATCGGCGTCAGGATGGCGGGGATCATATTCCAACACAACCTCCACACTACCCTATTCAACGGGTCTCTCAACAAGGATATCAAGTACGTCGTCATCTGCCACACCATCATCGTACTACACCAACCACTCAAGCTCATCACTCGCCTCAACCTCATCAACCCACATATTACCCGACCTTTACTCAACAGCGACATTAGCGCCAAGTCTCCCATCCCCAACATCCGACCTCACACTCACCACCGCATCCGCCGCGCCCCCAAGCGAAACCGACCAGGAACTGTCCTTGGAAACCAAAGTCGGCCTCGCAATGATCCCCATCGCCGTCGGTCTCTGCGCCTGGGGTCTCATCCTGCTAATCCTCTGGCGCCGACGCAAAGTCCACCAGTCACATCATCGAATAACCTCCTTCGCCGCCTTAGGCCCCGAAAAGGCGCACTCGCCCTTACTCCCCTCACTAAGCAGCAGTACAAGAAGCCGCCGCGTCTTCACAATGGCCGCATTCTACAGTCGCGACAAACAAGGCATGAGCGTAACACGACCCACGACTCCACCTCCCTGCAACTCGCCAGTCGGGCGTGCAAAAACAGATTCTAATCCCGACTCGCCTATCGATGAAGGCAGCCCGTTTCGACTGCGACCAGGGGAGGCGAGGAAGAGTCTGGGATCGGAGATATCAGAATTGTGGCCTTCGCCGCCGCCGACGGTATGGGCGCGGCGTCAGGATATACTCGAGCAGCTGCCTACATCGCGGTTCGGGCGCGATATGACGGGGCCGCGGCTGAAGCGAAGTGAGAATAGGGGATCGCTGCGGGATGCACGCGATGTGACTAGGCCGTCGATGGGTGATAATTGGCCTTTGATATGAAATCATGTTTTACACAAGCGAACCTAGCGACTTGGGTTTTTGCGTTACGATTAGACTAGTCATGTTGTTTTAGGATCAGTTTATTAGGTATACCCCCCGGTAGATTGGAGGCGTTGTTCGGCTCTGGCAAGAGACGGCTTCACTTTATGCAACGGTTTTTCTGTAGACGTGTTAACAATTATATTTTAATCATTTTGGTCTGATTGACACACCCTATGCATCAGTTTCCTTGTGTTCCTTTATGTAACCCCGGTAAAGAATGTTCCCGTAACGGTTGCGCGGGCCGACATAGTGGTGTCTGCCATCTAGCATCTAGCGTCTACTAGGAATGTGTTGCCTGGTAGGACGGATATCGATCCACAGTCGTCGGGCTTTTCAGCAAGTCCTGGCTGGTCCAACCAACTCTTGACACTTTATCATAACTCCAATGGTATCTCAAAATCTTGACGGTGCTCAATCACTCGAAGCACATCCTCGACAGCCACAGTTGACACATTCAATCTCCTGGTTCTCTTTAAGCTGATCTCTCGGGACGCGGCATATGCAGGTAGACCGGAAGTTGGTTTCTTTTGTCTGGATGCAGCGCGTGCAGCATAGCTAAGTTGCGTTAGTCCACATTCTTGTACCAATAAGTGCAAACAACTCACCTTCTCGTAACCCTGTTTCTTCCACTTGGCAATCAGCATGGGATCCGCGTATCCATTCTTGAGCAGGTAGTCGTAGAGCTGCTTGCTGATGGCCTCTTTAGTGTAGTAAAGGTCGTAGATGTAGCGGGAGCGCTGGTGCGTGATTTGGAAGATGGGCCACGTCATCTCGTACTTCTTCTTGCCCTCATGTGAAGCGTTCTCGGCGTCTTTCATCTTAGTCTGGAACTCTAGGAGCGTGTCCTCGATATCGTCGAAGCCTTCGGGCGGAGCCTTGCGAGAGGCGCGTGCCGTGCGGACGGGAGGCATGATCGAATAGTATGTAGGTTGAGTTGAACTTGTTTTCGGGGTATTGGATTTCGATTTCGACCTCGTGTCTGGTGTTTATGTATTATGTAGTTGTGGCGGTGATTAGAAGAAGCAGTTGGTCGTCAAGTTTGCGAATGCGCCGCCAGTCAAATCCGCGCTAACGCCACGGCTTGGCATTCTACTCCACCCGAGCCGCATCGTCACTGCAATTCCCGCCCTGGGACAACTGGAGCTCCGCAACACCGTCAATATGGTCATTAACCCTACCTACCTCGCCCAGCGCACGCGCTCATGTGAGTCGAATATCTGTATCAACCATTGGGGGAGTCCAAGGCTAATTCGGGCATAGCGGTCAACTGGGCCGATGCGAAGAAGAGGGTCATTCACAGCTACCGGGACTGGCTGCGGTCGGTACGCATACTCCCCATACCCTAGAGAGGATACTTTGAAGCCGATGATTGGTTTACTACCAATTGTGGTGCAAATAAGAGACCGGAAGCGAAGGGACGCGTTGGATTCGAGACATGCGGGCAGCAGTAACAACGCACAAGCGCGGGAGGCTGACAGGAACTATACAGGCTCCCGAGATCCAGACCATGTATTCGCTCAACATGCCAGTATCCCAACTTCGGACCAAAATGCGGCAGGAATTCGAGCGGCATAGATACGTGAATCAGCTGAAAACAGTCGACGTGCTGTTATTTAACAGCCACCAAGAATTCCAGGTATGGCACAACCGGAGAGCAAGATTCAAGGAGACCTTCTTTGGATTAACATATATTTCAGGAAACACTCAACTTCTGGAAGCAACTGTCACACGTACTCAAGTACTTCCGTACCGAAGAGGATCCCAAGGCACGGCTGCCAAACAACTTCATCAACGGCTTTTTGGAAGTAAGCATTCGGTTGAACCTCTGAGTAATCAAATTCCAGAATACTAATCTATGCTCCCAGGGTCGCAACTGAGTGGGCTGTCGTCGCCTGAAATCGGAATTGAAAAACAAGTCCAGGATGCGATGTAAATAGCCAAAGACAATACCATTTTCCTTTCCGTTCGCCATTGACCCATGATATCCGTGAACGCCATCAATGCAATAGTGTCTCACAAACCCTGCATTTACTCCTCCATCTTGTTAACAAACTCGTCACGTGCAATGGTGAACTTCTTCTCAACAACATCGCACATGGCCATGAGATCTTCGAGACCTTTTTCCAGTACAGTGTAAACACTGACGCCGTCTGATGCCATGTCAGCTCTGTCCTCGATGTGTTTGGAAACTAAAGCTTACCATAAGTCTGAATGCGCAGGTTCATCTTTGCTTCTGATGGATGCGGTATGGAGTAACCACAAAACTCGACGTCGGGGCTAAGAAAAATAGTTAACAGTCATTCATGTAAACATGTTCAGTTTCTGTTACTTTTTGTGAATAATATAACGCAGCGCGTTGCCTAGCGTATGGTCCTCGCCATCAAACTGGAAAGATGCTGCTGTTTCTGTGGAACCAGAAAGCTACACGTGATGTTAGACGCGGATTTACAGATTTCATCGTTTCATTTTGACATACGACTCGGATCCTGTCGCGGTCGACGGCTGGGTCAATCTCCTCGCCAGTCTCGGAAGTTGGGTCCACGATCTGGACTGGCGCGGAATCTTTCGTGGCTCCTGGCATGATTGTTTGTGGTTGGTGTTGATAAGTTGAGTAACAGACAGACGTGATCAGACGGTTATGCGACACTGCTTCAGAGTGTTGGCATGAGAAAGAGGCGCGACTTTGCGATATGCTCAGAATTTTGGGGCGAGAGCGGACTTTGGTTCGGCGAAGCGGTGGTTGGCCAGAACTTTTTTTCAGCCCTATATTGCTTGGCGGACATGACGTGGAGCGTGGGGAAGCTAGCACCCCTCTCCAGTCAGTGATTAGTCTAAACTTTTTTGTGCAACGTTCTTTTTATCCTTTTATCTGGAAATCGACTGAGTCAAACCCCCATAAATCCGAGGCCATCAATCCACCGCCACAATGCAACGCACTTGGGCCCTCAACCGCGATACAAACGAGACCAAGATCCAAGTCTCTATCAACTTGGACGGCGGCGAACTTGCGCCCTACCCGCACAGCGACTTCTGGGCCGCCCTCGACAAGGCCAATCTCAATGGCGAAGGCGAGAAGGATCATGCTACCCAAAAGTCTGCATCGCAGGAGATTTCTGTCGACACCGGCATCGGCTTCCTCGACCACATGATCCACGCCATGGCTAAGCACGCCGGCTGGAGTCTGCGCATACGATGCAAAGGCGACCTGCACATTGATGACCACCACACGAGCGAAGACACTTTCTTAGCGCTCGGCTCGGCATTCAGGAATGCGCTACAGGGTAGCACGGGACTTGCACGCTTTGGACACGCATATGCGCCACTGGACGAGGCCCTGTCGCGAGCCGTCATTGACTTGTCAAACCGGCCGTACAGTGTCATTGAGCTGGGGCTCAAGAGGGAGAAGATTGGCGACCTGAGCTGCGAAATGATTCCGCATTGTCTGCAGAGCTTTGCTCAGGCGTCGGGTACCACACTACATGTGGATTGCATCAGGGGTGATAATGATCACCACCGGGCGGAGAGTGCGTTCAAGGCACTTGCGGTGGCAATTAGACATGCGACGACGGTGGTGAAGCAGTGGGAGGGCGAGGTTAGGAGTACAAAGGGCGTGCTGTATTAGACTCGGTCTGGTAGGATGGGTCAATACAATTCACATAAACATATAGTTATAGTCACAAAACTTGAATAGATTTCACACTTCGAAGGTATCACTTGTGTAACACATGTCTGATATGAAGGAGAAAACTGCCAGAGACCGCTTGGCTAAACTCTATGACGTATCTATTTTCTCGTCGCCGTGATGATTGGCATAATGGCCATGCTTACAGAACAGTCGTTCGTCCTGGACTGACGGTGCTTCTAGTTCGAAACCAAGATTGTCCTCCAGCATCCATGCAATAAATTCATCAACATAACTTCCATGTGGTTGAGGCGGAAGAACAACAGTCACTGCTTCTTTGGCACGCATACTCTCAGCATCGCAACGGGAGTTCCCGAGTGCTCTCGTCTTGTACTGAAGAACATAGTCCATCATACGCCTTTCGAAGATCCAAGCGTTGTTAAAAGCGCTGCCACGAATCACTAGTCGAATCCGGACTTCTTTGGCATTGTTATGTGCCATCCTGGTCAAGGTACATGCGACGAAAATCTCAAGATTCTTTTCCGAGTAGCCTAGCTCTCTGGGGAGGCGCTGGTAAACTTGTTCCCAGTGAACTCCGAGCCTGGTCTCGAGACTCTGGTTGGTCCAAGCTGTTATGCCACGGCATATGCACTTGGGAGTGCGTCCAGCAAGCGTCTCACTGCCATCGTACACGGATGAAGTGTTGCCATTGTGCCTGGACAAGAGACCGAATAACTCGTCCATAAAGCCATTTCGTGGCTCGTACAGTACATTGGCTGGTCCCAAAACGACGACGGGTGGGTATTGCTCGTTGAGATCACACAGTCGCTTTTGGATCGATGCATCTCTGGTTTCTTGATAGATGAGCTTGCAAGTCAAGAGCAACGACGTCGGTAGCCTGTAGTACGGCCAGCTGCACACGCCGACGGGAGAAGACTTGACGACGGGCCATATATACTTGTACACGAGCTCTGGTAAGAAAGAGTAGATGTGGCAGCGCAGCTCAGGCGGCAGGGCCACGAGGCGGGATGCGAGTGCTGGCTGCATTGCATTGGGACAGTGAACGTCGGCGCGAGTTACGCTTACCCGGCCCTCTCCCTCTCCTGAGACCCTTGCCGAAGCGAGCATGGCCCAAGCTCAATCCCGCGGCGTCGCGAGTGGAGCTCGCAGCATCACACGCCCGACGCCGCCAATTCGCTGTCGACGCCCGTCTTGCTTTCTTTACACCTCGCCGCCATGCTCTCCGGCATCCTCATCTTCAATCAAAAGGGCGAGAACCTCATCTTTCGCGCTTTCCGCAACGACTGCCGCCCACGCCTGGCCGATGTCTTCCGCATCCAGGTCATTTCCAATGCACAAGTCCGCTCCCCCATCCTGACCCTGGGCTCCACCACCTTTAGCCATGTCAAGCACGAGAACATCTATCTGGTAGCTGTCACCAAGAGCAACGCCAATGCCGCCCTTGTCTTTGAGTTTCTTTACCGCCTTGTCGGGCTGGGCAAGGCCTACTTTGGCAAGTTCGATGAGGAGGCTGTCAAGAACAACTTTGTCCTTGTCTATGAGCTGCTCGACGAGATTCTCGACTTTGGATACCCCCAAAACACCGAGACGGACACGCTGAAGATGTACATTACCACAGAGGGGGTCAAGTCAGAGCGGACAATGGTGAGCTTCTCCATGTGTGAGTATATCAGGAATAACTACTGACTATGGAATAGGAGGACTCTTCCAAAATCACTATGCAGGCCACGGGTGCGCTTTCATGGCGCCGGGCAGACATCAAGTACCGCAAGAACGAGGCCTTTGTCGACGTTATCGAGGATGTCAACCTGCTCATGTCCGCAACCGGAACAGTGCTCCGGGCAGATGTGAATGGTCAGATTATCATGCGCGCATACCTTTCCGGCACCCCAGAATGCAAGTTTGGCCTCAACGACCGACTGACGCTGGGCGAGGACCATCTACAACAACCCTCGGGCAACAAGGCGGGTGCAAAGGCAACAAGGGCAGCAGCTGGTAGTGTCACGTTGGAGGACTGTCAATTCCACCAGTGCGTCAAGCTCGGCAAGTTCGATGCTGACAGGATAATATCTTTTGTTCCACCAGACGGCGAGTTTGAGCTCATGCGCTATCGGGCGACCGAGAACGTCAATCTACCTTTCAAAGTCCACGCCATTGTAAACGAGGTTGGCAAGACAAAAGTCGAATACAGCATTGCCATTCGCGCCAACTACGGCTCCAAACTCTTTGCTACCAATGTCGTCGTGCGCATACCCACGCCTTTAAACACCGCCAAAATCACCGAGCGAACTTCACAGGGCAAAGCCAAATACGAACCAGAACACAACAACATTGTTTGGAAAATCCCACGCTTCACGGGTCAAAGCGAGTTTGTCTTAAGCGCTGAAGCTAGCCTGACTAGCATGACCAACCAAAAAGCATGGTCCCGACCACCACTCAATCTTAGCTTTTCACTCCTCATGTTCACTAGCTCTGGTCTCTTGGTACGCTATCTCAAGGTGTTTGAGAAGAGCAATTACAGTAGCGTAAAGTGGGTGCGGTATATGACGAGAGCAGGCAATTATGAGATAAGGTATGTTTGTTTCCCGAGCCGTTTATATAACCCCTACCTATCATGTCTTGATGCTAACATAATTACCTATAGATTCTGAGAAAAGGCATGTTTTGCTTTGTCCATATTATTATTACTACTATTACCATTATTACTTGTGCTATACAGTTCGGTGTTTGCATTGCATTGCAGGCGTCATTGGGGAGAAGGGACTCGGTTATCTACGATATCCTTGAATATAATCAGAAGCGATTACATTAGACCCCTTTTTGTTTCTGTTGTACATGGATACGCTGACAAGCTGGTATACAAATTCCGTCCTTGATCGTGGTGCTAGGTCGTTGCTAGCTGTGATGTCTCACAGGTACCGCTCTGCGAAAAGCGGTATGTGTGTTGTAGACATCCATCCAACTCCATACGCCATACAAACCCTTCTCTCCACATGCACCCGCCCTTTTACTCACCCAAATCCATGTCCTCATTGCTCTCCGCTCCCCCATCCTCCTCAAGCCTAGCCCTCTTCCCCTCCCTCTCCCAAATCTCCCTTCCAAAGAACAAAATCTCCCTCTTCTCAGGCGTCAAACTATCATGCAACCTCTTCCTCTCCATCTCCACTCCCTTGATCTCGTCCTTCAACTCTTTCTCCTCAGCCTTTATCTCCTGGACCTGAGCTTCGAGATCGCGGATTTGGGCTTGCAAGGTGTGGATTTGGGTTTCTTTGGTGTGCAGGGAGGACTGGTTCGTGCGGAGGCGGTTGGTGAGTTGCGAGTGCTTGGTTAGGGTTTCGCGGTAGGCAGGGATGAATGATGAGGTGGAGGTTCGTGGAGGGGTGCTGGGGAGGGGGAGGGGAGGGGGAGGGGGAGGAGGAATGTTGGGGTTGACCAAGGTGGTTCTGGTGGTGGCGTTGGGGGGGATGGGAGTCGGGGTTGCTGGAGGTAATGCTGCTGGGACCGCGGGTGTATTTGGTTTGTTGGTGCTGGGTTTGTTGATATCCTGTTGCATAGACATGGTGTGAATGCTAGAAGTCGAGATGCTAGGTGTAGGTGTAGGCGTCGATGTTGGCGGAAGCATGGGTGCAGGCTGAGGAAGCATTTTTCTTTGAAAGGCTTGTTTGAACTCATCAATTGGCTCGATCATTGGTTGACCTGTGGATGCGGGACCTGTAGGTGGAACTGGAGTTGGAGCCTGGAAGGTTTCAGATGTAGCGGCACGACGCCGGCGCTCGGGAATGAAGAGACTGGCCTCATCTTCGAGAGATGAAGAAGGGAACAGCTCTGTCAAGAAAAGCGGTGAGAGTGGACGCTCTGTCATCCTCTGGGCTTTAGAGGAGGGTAGCGTTATGTTGGCTTTTAGCCCGGTTGGCATACTCGCGGGCGTCTTTGTCGTGTTTGCTTTCTGTCCATTCACTGGTGTCGCTGTAGTCTCTGCCCTTAGCCCATCTTTGAGTCTTAACTTCCCCGGAGCTTTCTGTGGAGCAAGTGATGGTCTCATCTTGTATGCCGGCTCAGCACCTGCTTCGCGCTCCTGAGTCTTCTGTTTGACACGGGCTTCTTTGGTAGTAAATTCGGCTGCCACCTCGCATGCTGCGAGTAATTCTGCGGTAAAGCGCATGTCAACCGGCCACGGTGACGGGGGGTTGACTTTCTTGACCATGAAGTAGTACCTGATCACAGCTCGCAGATGAGTCAAATCCATTGTGCCATTTTTCTTCAGCCACTTGAATGCATTTGCCGCATTGGTCAACCGTATGGCCTCCTCTATCGTGATGCTAGAGTGCAGGTTTCCATGCCGATCGAAGACGTTGAAGCGGTGTCCAGGCCACTGGTTCTCGTCGCGTGTCTTGATCGGAAGGATCCAGACTTCTAAACCCTTTTTCTCGCCTTCTGTGATCTGGCCGAAGAGAATGCGTCTGGGCAGTGAAGTGAGGCGCTTGTGCTTTTTGTCTTCAAATTCTGCTTCCCGGATCTTGTCTATAGGTAGGTGCTCGAGGTAGGAAGCGTCTTTACCCATGAGACTGTGTATCTGCTGCAGAGCCTTCGTTGATAGACATTCTGTGTCGTCGGGTTCCGCCATTTCGGTTGATTGGCACTGCTCTTGTTATGCTATTAGCTAATGTCCTACTACACGATCGATCCTCTTGATACTTATATCTGGTGCGTGTTTGATTGATTTCACATTCAAGCATGTGGCTCTTTGTTGTGTTCTTATTATCAGGTCTCGTGGCCGCGACTGTTTTTTATACTAAATATACTGTTTGTGTACTAGTGGGCCATGTGTAAACGCGACTAGCGGGCACTAACGGGCACTAGCGTGTCTCGCTAGAGGATGGGAGTGAAGGAGGCTTCTAGAAAGCGTAGAAACCCAGCGTTTGAGATATAGTAGGCCGAAAGCTCAAGGTTAGAGATATTGCGGATATGTGGAGTTCTTGAAACATCTACTTAGTATGGAAATCTGCCCTTTGATCTAGGGATCACTATCACATGTTAATGTACTATCATTTCGGGTGTTCTAGTTGTAAGCAAGCCAAATGTTTGGTAGTCAAAATAGACATGTTTGAAATTATATTTACAGATTAATTACATCAGGCTTTTCATATAAGCCTATCACGTAGACATGAGGATGTTTGTGTGGATTTTCTCGTCCCTCATTCTCTAATATAAAGCGTTCGTACTTGTCTCAAAAAGACTATACTCCTACTATGCTTTTCTGTCCCCATATGATCCTCGTCAATTTCAGTTTCAATTGACAGAGTGTAAATAGTGGCACCATATAATGCATCGGAACCGGGACTTGGTAGTATAACCGAATTATATAATAGAGAGAATACCAACCGATGAAACTTTTGCCCAGCTGACGCCCTTACATGATATCTCTCCAATATTATCGTTTTGGCTGGATAGCACTATGAAATTAGCAATAGCACTACAGTAATCAAGTGCTCTCTGCCAACTTAGGCAATGACCCAAGATTCATTAAGATTCTACCCATTACTCCCAGATACACCAGAACATAGCATGCCAAGAAAGTTCCCCGTTCAAGTCGTGTCTTCGAACCTGTTTTTGAAGAACTAGTGGCTGGTCTTTTGACGCTTCGACGGCAAACCTTCCTTGATGCCATATTCCTTGCACACGAATTTACGAGATAACTCCCAGACGGCCATCATCTCTGGAGTCATTACGCCCAGTTGGTGTTTCTCAGCCTCAAGCTTCTCTCGCATAGTCTGAGACTTTGTCTCAATCTCAGCTATCTTGCTAACCTTATCTTGATCCTCAACGCTGATCCTTTCTTCGAATGCTCGTCTCTTACGCTCATATTCAGCATCAAACTGCTCCTTTTCTCGATGAAGCTCTTCAAGAGTAGTGATGTGACGGGTTACCTGGGCTGTCATTTCATCGATCTTTTTCTGAAGGTCTTCCCGATCATTGTATGAGGCTGACAGCGACTCGAGGATGGTTTTCATACCTTTGCTAGGCTCCGGAGTCTATGAGAAGTTAGCATATGGTAAGATACACTTATTTTGTGTGGTATTTCGGCGTACATCGGTTTTAGAGACAGATGATTCCTCGGGTTCTTCTGAAAGTTCTTCTGGATCATCTTCAGGAATGAAGGGAGGTTCTTCGCCGACTTCTTCTAGTTGATTTCCTGGAAAGAGGAGAGCGTCTGAATTCGGGTCATCAACCGCGGCAAGCTTACTGGTAGTTACGCTTTTGTTGGCTTCGACTTTGACTGTATCCTGTTCAGTGATAGTGAGCCGCGAACTATGACGCTTCTTGCTCGAACCAACGACTAGAGGTCTACTGGCATCTACGTGGCAGCTGAGTTCGTTCTGGCTGTACATCTGAGCTGTAGGTACAACCTTTACGAAGTTAATAACAGACCGCCGTTACAGAATCGATATTATAGTTACCGGAAAGATTGTTGAGGAGGTGCTTGACATGGCTGGCGATGAGGACTGCGCCCTAGATACATCTATTGCATTCGCGCTCTTATCAACTTGCTTAGGTGTCTTCTCCAAAATCCTACGGCTCTGCTTGGAGATCCTGAACATCTCGCATCCTAGGACTAAGTTTGAACGAAAAACTGAACCAACCACCGGTATTGGAGCCGATAGAGTAATACCTTTGCGAATGAAGAGAGCTTTCAGAACAGCCTTGACTGCGTCAAGCTCGAACTTGCCATCTTTGATAAAGGGCCTCCAAAACTTGTTGGCTTGAAGCATACCATCTGCACAATTGATGTCCTTTGTGTTCATGACAGTATACTTAGTGTTTGCCATACGCTTACCAAACACCATGGACGGCTCAGTATTTTTGAACGAGGGAGAGCGAAGATAGACATAGACCTGGGTTATGTAAACGCTATCTTCCCGATATGTGCCAAATGCAAGCTTGGGTGTGCTGGAACAACGACTCGATGACTTTAGCGAAGGCCTTTCATGAATTTTATCGAAGAGTTTGTCATCTTTAGCTTCAGAAGGGAGATACTGCAAGCTGTCCACTTGCACATCAAGCGATCGGACAAGTTCTTCATACGTGGTGGCACGTGTTTCAATAAAAGGCGAGTTAGTGGTTGGCGTGTATGAGGGGTGTGGGGTTTCTGAACTTGTTAGCGCATCTCCTATGGCTAGCTTTACGTTGATGGGACACGTACTGCGAGAAGGGGTAGAAGGGAAAGGCGTAAGAGGAAAATTGTTAGCCATTTTTGCCTGTGTAGTTTGAAAATAAAAGCGCCAAAGAGCTGGAGCCAGAGGTTTGTGAATTGATAGTGGTGTATCAGCGTAAACAGAGAACTAGCGAGGAGCAAACGCTAGCTACGACGAGGTCACGCTATAGGTACCAAGTGCGAGAATCCTTCAATATGGTACCCGAATAGGTAAAAGTGAAGGTAGGTGAAATCGCGAGTGTTCAGGCAACAGAAATAAGGGGGGTCAAGGTAAGACCCTAATATCGAGCAAACATATTGCGGACACTGGACAGGTATCACGTGCTGGCTAAAAAGAGGAAGAATTTCGATCAGTAAGTCTCAAGTGATTGATTTACCAACAGAAACAGTGTGTGTTGCTTCCTGCGGGGGAATGTAGAACGAAATCCTATCACTTCTGTTAAAAGCAAGCAGATGTTTGCCACTCGTGCATATTCACTATCGGTCAAGCTATAAGTAGCAAGCAGCAAACTATATATCCATATATGGGACTTGCCACTTCACTTATATCCTCATCTTACTCCTCAAAGAGGCTGTTATCAATGCGCGTCCTGTGTGTTGAGGAAATGAGTGCACTGCAATACCAAGAGGCTATAATGAGACCCGGTCATTACATAGCATGGAATATCATTGTTGACGATATCCTACACTTATAGGGAACCTAATTCATGTAGGTAGAATACTATATCGTTTCTGATTAGTCGTTAGAGCAGGCCGAACTGAAAATTGGCTAGTCACTATGCGCTTTTAGATATTTCTTGCCGGAATATTGATTCATCCAATTGTCAGTATCATGAGACTCTTCCAATATCTATTCAATTAAGAGAGTTCAATACTGGTCACTTCGCATAATCGTGAAGCGATTGTATCGGCGCATAGCAAGTTGCATGGGTAATCACGTGGCAGAGTGCAGTAGTATTCTATTGCTGCACATTTTAGACTGAAACCGTAGTTACGAAGAGTCGTATCTAGATTTTTGTATCAATGCTATAGAGAAAATGCGATTAGTTCGTCATCAATCAAACGTTCTGAATGTGAAGACAGGCGACATGTATGCATTCTTGAATCCTCCGCGCTTTAGCGTGATGCTAGCGTCGATGACGCACTTCAATATGCCACCTCTCTTTAACAGCAGAGCTGCAAACTAACACGATTTCAAATAGGTACAACTCACAGGATGCCTCCAAAGAAGTTGAACAAGGATGGGGATCAGAAGTCGAAGGAGGACGAGAAATCTAACAAACCCACTGTTTCCGATGAAGAAGTCCGCGAGGAATCAGGGAAAGCCGCCAACGCTGCCCTCGCAGCTCAGAAGAAGGCCAAAGAATTGAAGGATGCGGCAGCAGCAGCCGGCAATCCCGAAGAACGAGAGAGATTAACGGAAGAAGCTACGAATGCCGAGATTGAAGCCGAGTCATTTGGAAAAACAGCAAAGTACCTACGCTCAGGCGCATTTCAGGGCATGGCTATGGGTACAGGTCTTGGTGTTGCACCAGGAGCAACTTTGGGAGCAATCAGTGGGACCTTAGTCGGAGGTATTTCGTCGACGCTACTGGGTGGACTGGGCGCCGGTATAGGTGGCGTTACAGGGGCAATTCATGGACCTTTTGTGAACATGGGAAAAGTAGCAGGAAAAGGGATGAAAAAGCTGACGAGCTTTCTACCGGAATGGGCAGCGAGCGAGGAGCAAAAGAGGACATTGGAAAAGATGGTTAGCCAGGCCAAAGACGAAGAGATGCCTGGTGCTGAGGAGCTCGAGAAGTTCAAAAGCGAGGGCGGTGGGCGTCAGCTGGATGAAGGGTGGCTGCAGAACGCAAAGGGCATGCTTCCAAAACAAGAGGATGTCTCGAATGCAGCCAAAGCGGGTGCACAGGCAACCAGTGGTGAATCAGTACCGGAGTCTAAGGACGGCACATCCGAGCAGCAGCCGCATGAAGGCTCGGCCCAGACGGATGGTCCTCAAGGTCGTAAAAAGCCACGCAAACTGAACTCTAGGCCGACCGATGTCAGCAATCGAGTGCCAGATACGGACGGCAATGACAATACGAAGGATGAGCCAACTCAAAGCAAGCAAGGGTCAGACGCACACAAAGAAGGAGAGACGGATGAGCGAACGAAGAGACTCAACCAGCGCGAGGCTGACCTGAACCGTAAAGAAGCTGAGCTGGAACAGAGGGAAAAGGCGTTGGAGAAGCGTGAGAAAGAACTTGAGTCCAGATCGACTAGCCAGGGCCCAGAGCACTCAACCACATCGGAACCGAAAGGACATCCCCGCAAACTCGAAACTAGATCTTGAAATCACCATGCTTTGCTTCGTAAATGTCTCAAGAAGCTGTCTCGACTATGCGGGAACATGCCCCGTTATGATATTGAGATGGCCACTACATAAGACCTAAACAGAGGTCTTGGTGGAAGCCTTGGGCAAATACAATAATCAAACTCATTCAATATGGCCCAGTAATTTCGCCTACACTCAACCGTGCCTTGGCCTCTACTCAGCGTCAGATCCACACCATTCCCTACAAGCACCCGCTCGCCACGCAACGACACGGCACCCTCCGCCCAATGCACCACTAGAAACTTACGATCTCAAGCAGCACAGCGGGTCGGGAACTCCCCATCGCACGTTCTATCTCTATTGGAGTGTGAAGCCCACCTAGTCTCCATCTGAGCCACTGCGCTTCCCATCCACGACTACTTACACTAATGCAGGGAAAACACCGCCCACCTCCGGCACATGTCCTGTCTACCGCATAGTTTAAGTAACGGTAGCAGCTTTGAGGCGCAGAACAACAAGTCAGGGTCACAGAATCAATAGCACATGGCGCATCGCCTAAGTGACATTTGTCCGAGCCTTACTGCGCGGATGCGTCGCTGTCTAATCTTAGTCGGGAAGCTGCGCAGGAACACGGCTGCTAGTGTGCAGATGATAGCTCGGCCCGCGAGTCAGCGGAGTATGCTCGCTTCGGTTGGGTTGGGCCGACTGCCCACTGCTGGGCGATGGAATCGGGTGCATTCGATCTAGATTACGTGTGAAATAATCTTGTACTGTAGAAATATAAAGGGACTAAGAATCGAGACTTCCATCGAATAAGAAATCACCGTTTCTGTTCAATTCACCAATTGGGCTTGTGGTTTAGTGGTATAATACTCCCTTAGCATGGGAGTGGTCCGGGGTTCGATTCCCCGCGAGTCCATCTTTTTGTATTTTTGCCAGAATACTCACAATAATGGTAGTCGTAGTTGCAGTTGGGGGGGGGGTCGATATTTTTTTTGGAGTATGAGTGTGGTACGTGCGCACGCACACTAGTATTAGTGGGAACACTGACTAAGTCTTGTGCACTTTGTAATTTCTCTACGCGCCCTATAATCAATAGATACGGTACACTTACGGTCACGTCACCACGTATTCGAAGATTTACAAAAGGATTTTTGAAACAGTATTAATATTAAATTTGATCTTATACTCAACTCGACTAGGTCCACTTCTTACGCACGACACATGCGCCCATCAGTCTTAACCGACCACGCCTCGCTGCCAACACCCACGGTAGCATAAAACAAGCCCTGGGGATCCCACTTCTTCTTGATCCCCAACAACTTCTGATAGTTGGTTCCCCAGAACGTGTCCTGGAAGTTGGGCTGACGGAAATCCGCCTCGTTAACATACGAACCGCTGCCCGGTGTCGCCTTCTCAACCAGTGGGATAACCTCGTTGGTCATCTTGTTCTGGACCTCAAAGGCTTCAGACCACGGCGCGGTGAAGTTCCATGGAAGGGTAAGTGTAGCGTGGACGATGGCCTTGCGCCATGCGGGATGAACCGAGGTGGTCTTGTCGGAACCAAAAGGTGCGACGTTGGTACCCACACCGATCCACGTTACGCCCTTCTCAATGATGGCTTGCCATGTAGGTGCGATGCTGGCGACGACAGCACGAGGGATGAGACGTGTGCCGTACTGAGCGATGCCGACTTGGATGTTGCCGAGGGGAAGGGGTCCAAAGTACTTGTCGTAGTGCTCGTAGTAGGTGTTGAAGGCGGAGTAGGAGACAGTGTGAGTGACATTTAGAGAGGTGAGCTTTGCGACAAAGGGAGCCATGATGGTCTTGACCTGATCTTCGGTCTTGTTGTAGGCGCTGAGTGGCGCGATGGAGAAGAAGCCAGTGGTGAAGTAGTGGACTACCATTGCGCCAGCGTCGACCATGCCGGGGAGCTCCTCGTGGAAGGCTTGGATGCCGCTGTAGAAGGTGTCTTTGCTCATGTCTTTGGCGAAGAAGGAGAGCGAGGCACCGCCGAAGACGGCCTCCTTGTAGGCCTTCACGGTCATGGAGACGACGATGCCGTAGGTGCTGCCGCCGCCGCCCTTGAGGGCCCAGTACAGATCTGGGTTCTCGCGTGGGCTGGCATTGACAAGCTTAGCGCCAGCGGTCACAACTTGGAATTCAAGAGCATTGTCGACGGCAAGGCCAAAGCTGGTGCTGACGGCTGAGTGACCTCCACCTTGGGTGTAGCCACCCGCGACACCGACAGTGGGACATTCACCTCCAACAGTGACTAGTCCGCGGTCTCGGGCAGCAGCCATCAGCTCGAATCCCTGGACACCAGCACCAATCTTAAAAGCTGGGCCAGTGTATTCGGCGCTCTGGTAGTTGGGGACATAGGTGATGCTCTTGAGATAATGGGTCCACACTGCCAAAGCCCCTGCGCCGGTAGAGCGGCCAAGGTAGTCATGGCCAGTGTTACGGATGACCAGCCGAATGTTCTTCTGAGTGGCATAGTTTACTGCATTCTGAATGTCTAGAGGGCCCGAGGCATTCACAGCATACCGAACATAGTTACCCAACTCACACGGGCGGTCACGCGGCTGAAACGGATCGCAGCTCTGGTTTGCGAAGAAGGGCGCCATTACTGAAGAGGAAGACTCGTAACTGGACCGGAGTAAGTGCGTGTATTCTTGAAACATGGGGTAAGATTGCATACTGAATCTTCTCCGTCTGCCATTGGCTCTTCAAACTCTCGCACTTTGCGCTGTCGAAAGCCGATCCGTGACATGGTGATCCAAGGGGCACAGTAGCAACGAGTCGTCCGCCCACGGTTCTGTTAAAAGCAGTCCAGTCAGACTGCGCTGGCCAGTTCTTGTCACCAGGGAACGTCTTGCAAGTGGCGGCGACACTGTAGGCAGATGCAAGGCCATCGATCGCGAGGGCAAAGCTTAGGAACCGCATCTTGAAAGGCTAGTATCTAACAGAGGGTGCCGATCAACACGAGTGCTGCACAGCAGCCAGCTCATTATAAGAAAAGGCCTACAAGGCTTGTAGGCCTTACTCTCTGGCGAGACCCAGAACTAAGCATGGCTATGGCACGGCAATGGGTTAGTAGTGTCCGGCGGTGTGGGTCCCCTTGCCCGCAACCACCACCACGTGTGCCGGCCGTTGCCAAAGACGCTGGCACCTATCTCTGAACCCAACCCTGGGTTTCCTTCGAGTAAAGGGCTTCCATTCCATGGAGGATTCGGAATCCTGTGAGCAAAGCCTCCCGGCATATTCAACTTCCGCACCAAACCCGTGGTTCTCCCTGGCGTGACAGCAATCCCCCAGGGTCAATGCAACCACCCATGTGCGTACGTACCACCCATGCCAAATAATTGCGCCGAGAAGAAATCAGGGACCTCTGCATACCTTAACCGCATCAAGCTGTTGGCTTAACCGCCACCCCCGTCCGTGTACTAAGGGACGGGTCGGCGCCATTTTTTTTTTATTTTCTCTAGGCGAGTATGTAGGAGACCATCAAGGAAGAATATGCTCGTTATTCGTTCCAGGCCGCATCAGCCCTAGGAGTGACCTTCCGTTTTGTAGGTGCGCCGCTTGGTTTACTAGGTCTTACGGCTTTCGCCCCGGACAATAGTACGTTGTCTTAGCGGGCACAGAGGAAGGGCGGGATTATCCGGGTTTCGCGGCGCCCATTGTAGGACTTTTGCGTGCACGGTATGTACACTATCCTGGATAGGCGGCTACAGGGCCCTTGTTCGACAAGCGTGTCTGAGGCTCACGGGGTGGTATCCTCTGTAAGTGGGCATAGTAGCGATGACATGTCGATATCGAAGGGTACACATGTGCGTTAGTGTTTATGTGTGTGCTATGACGAACAGGTCTCGGTGAGACTCTCGTCGTAATATCCAGGCAAGTGGTCTGCTTGTGCATGTGTAGTCTGTAGAAGCAGTTGGGCACCCCCGGCTCTCCACGTCAAAGCTTGCTGCTGGCGGACATTTCACGATCCGTAGGAGCATGAAGCCCTTGTCGTGCGGTGCTATAGGCTGTGGGGGTATCGTTCGAAACAACTAGTCAAAGCGGGTTGCCGGCTCTTATGTTGACGTGGATTCCCACCGAGAGAGGTGTACAGAGTATCTACGTACAGAACGTGTATTTCGTCACAATGGGCTGGGCCTATAATACTCCTGAGAGCGCTGTTAATAATGGCTCGCACATTACGAGTGTGGCCATTGTATTTACAGTGGCATCACTGTTGGTGTTGTCACTTCGGTTCTACGTCCGAGGGTGGATGATCAAGACGATCGGAGCGGGTACGTATGACAGACTTGAACTTGCCGGTCATGGCTAACGGTAACGATCGACAGATGACTATGTTTTGGCCTTTAGCTGGGTAAGTAATGTCGATCGGGTGTCTATCATGGGATTGGGTCTGACAGGTAACAGGTAGCGTGTTGCGGTTTCGCTGTCGTCACCATCCTGCGTAAGTCTGTCTTGCACACTACACAGTGCTATGACTAACAACACTATCCAGAGACAAAATGGGGACTTGGACTAAAAAATGTCCAAGATATGCCTGATCAAAACCTCTTCAATTTCGGACTGGCAAGTAAACGCCTCACTGTACTTTGTGGGCTCTTCGCTAACTGACACAGTTGCAATACATTGGCGCGCCATTGTAAGTCTACGAGTTCTGTTCTCACTCAAATCAATCACTAACGATATCATCAGCTACATAACAAGCATAACGACCTTCAAAATTAGTCTAATGTTAACCTACCTCCGCTTCATGCCCAAGGGCGCAGCACGCACCGCAACAATCGTAGTAATAGTGCTCTGCATCCTCTTCCACCTTGCTTTCCTCACCATCCAGATCAACCTATGCCAACCGGTACGTCGTCTCCTCCATCCTCCTTCAAACCCCCTACTTACCCCCTTCTAGATCTCCATGCAATGGGACCGCACCATAACGGGCACCTGTCTCCCCGCCGTCCCCTTCTACACCACCACCTCCTCCCTGACCATAACCTTTGACGTTGTCGTGTAAGTTTCCCTCTCTTCTTCCTCTTCCCCCGACCCGACCCCTCCCATTCCACCCTCCAAAAAAACCCCTCTTCTAACACACACCAGCATGTTCCTCCCCTTCCCCGTCCTCCTCGCCTCGCGCATCCAAAACCGCAAAAAAGTCGTCCTCCTCGGCCTCCTCGCCCTCGGCACCTTCATCACCATAATCCAAGTAATCCGCATCCAAACCATCCGCTCTTTGACCAACTACCTCGATTCCGCGGGTGTCATAATGTGGTCGAGTGTCGAAAACAATCTCGGCGTCATCGTCGCTTCCATACCGACGCTAGCGCCGCTATTTACCTTCTTTGTGGATAAGACGGTGAAGAGCTCCGAGAGAAGCTCGAGGGGGAAGGCGCTGTATGCGCTTAGGTCGACCAAGGGGACAGCCAGGCAGGGGTCTGTGCCGTTGGGGAGTGGGGTGCATGGGGGTGAGGATGCGGAGGGGGATAGGGGGAGTGAAGAGGCGATTTGGGGGAGGGAAGGCGGGATTGCGATGAAGACGGAGGTTAGAGTTGAGTCGAGGCCGGTTGGAATGGGCATATAAAGGATGGGGGGTGTCGGACGTAGGCTGGTTACCAAAAAAGGGGTGGGGGGATGAGATGGGGAAAGTGTTTTGTGACGATGGGAAATGAAAATTTGCGGGTTGTATGAGGGTTTACTCTGTATTTGGCTTTGATATCCCCCTCGGTTTTGTATTGTAGCAAACTATGTTATGGTTTTTTTTCGAGCACACTTGTTTGCAGTGCGGGTTTGCTGGGGCGAAAATCACTGGTCTTTGGGGTTGAATTATGCGCTCAAGGAACTGTTTATCCGATAACTCAGGAAAACCAACACCAGGAGTTCGATTGCTCCGCTGCAAAAATCTCCAATAATACAGCTACATAATGTTGCAACATTTTTACCCGCCGATCAGCCACTAGTGCATTTGTTCGTTCTTTCTGCCCCAACGACGATAGTCGCACTATTTCTTATTGCAATGTTTCGAGTGCATTACCTTCTTGACATGACAGCACGTTGAACGTTGTATGATAGGCGGATATGTTGCAGGGACAGGGCTTGTTGGCGGTCAAGCACGGACACATATAGGGTTGTTATAGCGATTCGGTTGCAGATCCTGGGCGATAATACGCCCACGGATATGTTTGCCATGGCCAATCGGGGGAGAGTGGGGTATGTGGGTATGGTATTGATGCGTGTTGCTGGTGTTTATTGTAGTTGAAGTAAGGGAGAGGGACGATTGTGAAATTGCGAGGGGTCGAAGAGGGAGTATCATGAATGTTATAGGGGTTGGGAGTTGTCGCCCTGTAATGCTACGGGACTTTTTTTCCCAATGTAGTGCAAACAATTTTCATAAATGTTTGAGCGAAGCACTACAAGCCGAACCAAATAAATGCTTTGTTTGAGGGTTTGAGATATTGCGCCTGATACTTATTGTTGGTATTGTTGGTTTGGTGTGAGAACTGTGCCGCAGATCAAGTCTGCCCACAGAATGAGTAGCTGAGAAACACACTTCTCTCGGCGGAGATACTCACTACCTAGCGATTCACTGCAGTTTGAGTTGATGGAGAAGAGCTGTCGTCCAAAGAAAAGAGAAGGAAGTGTCTGAATTGGGGCCAGCGAGCAAATTTCGTACTAAGATAGGGGTGAAAACGTGAAAGTGATAACTTTTTGTATAGGTTGGTAGGTCGTGTGAAGCCTGCATACAGAAACAGTGTTTGAACATGAGAAGAAGCAACATGAATTTATAAGGGCATTATCGGTGGAACAACTACTTTCGGGGCAGCACCTCTTCCCACCGCAGAACTGTATCCTCTGGCAATCTGTCGTAATCTCAGTTTCTATCGCACTTACATATGAAGAAACACTACCTACTTCGTCAAAATTTGTGCTAGATCTAAACACACCACCGCAGGTTTCCGGTCCGGTATTCCAATATAGCTGCCTCAACCAAGCATGCAGGCAGGGATAGTCGCGGCGAATCATTCTTAGATTGCACTTGAAGAAGGGGTAATACGCCACGTCGAATCGTATCAGTGTCGTGAAAAGATATATGTCCGACTCGGTAATGTGTTGTCCGAAAAGATAGGGATGGTGCTGAGGTTGTGAGAGATGGATTTCAAGACGATCCAAGGTCTGGAAGAGCTGTCGTAGGTGCTCATTGTATGATTGCACAGATGATGCAAAACCGATCTTGTACACGCCATTGTTTACCGTGTCGTACATCCAGGAGTTTAGAGCGTCGATTTCAGGAACGATGTGTGATGGTCTGAAGGCTGAAATGCCTTTGTTCGCCTCACGTTGCTCGGGCGGCAGGAGAGCGTCAAAGCCGTCGATTAGCATGCGAGCGATATCTGTGCTTTCGTTGTTGACAGCAGTGCCTGGGCGTGATCAGACTGGTTCTATTTGCTGCAATATCAAAGTCGGTTTACCATGCTTCTTGTCCCACAACAGCGGAACAGTTACCCTCCCGTCATAATTGGGGTCTGCCTTCTGGTAAATCTCTTTCAAGGTCTTGACGCCGTATATGGGGTCTTTGCTGGGTCCGCTTCGCCCTGAAAACGACCAGCCATGGACTACATCTCGATCATCCACTTCCACCAGCTCAACAATGTCCTCGAGCTTCTTCAGCACACGGACGATGATGGATCGGTGGGCCCAGGGACAGATGTAGTTGATGTACAAGACATAGCGACCCTTTTCGACAGGGAAGCGATCAGAGGGAATAGTATGGCGGAAACTGGAAGCCATCTGGCTGCGAATGTGAGAGAAGTTTGCTCAAGTCACCACGCGATAGGCCTTGTTGTTTTGATCAGAGATTTGGAAAAAAAAAGGCTTGAACATGTCCTGTGAGAACAAGTGAAATACAAGCCGACGCTCTGCTGAGGTATTGGTACATTTTGCTCAGATTGAATTAATGATTACAAAACATCAAATGGTCTTGGACTGCAGGGGTAATAATGATTAGTATGAGCTACTGCGCGCGAGCGGCTACTTTTCCAAGTGGGGAAAGGCGCCAAGTAGATGCTCGGGTACGATAGACGTTATAGTAGGGCCTTGTATCGACCGAGACGTTGTAGCCTTTCTGATGGCGTTCACAAAACGTCGCGGGTGATGTATGGTGGACAATTGCATCTTGAACGTGTAATGGTGCCGAGCCACGTGGGTGGAGGGGGAATGACAGGGGTGGCCTGAACCGAGACGAACAGGAACTTTGGGTCACGTCGGGCTTCGTTCATACTGATGCACCGTCTCCCTGCATTGCATGTGCACGCATACACACACTCGCGTGACAATGTGCTGCCACGACTTTGTTTGTTGAGTGATTGGCTCTTCTCGCTCTTTCAGGATGCATGCTACCGGCGCTGCAGCAGACTTGATGAGTTGTGCAATGTCGCGGAATCCGTGGAACACAGCGCATCTTGTTCGCGATGCGCATTTCCCGAAAGAAACCTAGGCAGCAAAAGCACGCCAACTAATCACCAGGGCATCAGGCTGAAGGGCGCATGAGTTTCTTCCTCGTGTGCCTCCTAAACAGATGCCAATATCGATTTTATCAGTCATCGCATATGCAGAGGTTAACGTCGGACCACGACGCGACTGGTTTGCCGACTAGGGCATGCAGTTGGACAGCATGATGACAGTGACGCCAGTCGATAGCAGAATGCCTTTTTTCCGAACTAACAAAGGGATTGTGGACTGTCTGAGCTCATACATGACAAGTCGAGACATCAGGGGCGGGATTTGTGCGTGTGTTTTGGCAGCGATTCCAGCCTCGCTTACAGGCAATAGTGGGAGCCGGCGGAGGGAGTGACTTGCTAGCTCCAGGAGATGGTAGGCGGCGCGAAGACGTTTGGTTCAGGGCCAGATCCAGACCCAGGGTTAATTGATTCAACGCTGCGGTGCCAAGTGTCGTTGTATCGAAAGCCATCTCAACCAATCATGATGATAACCACGGTTGCCGGTGAGAAATGCGATGGCTTGGGCTGCAGCTGCAGCCGTTACCTGAGCTGATGTTGTATCGTAGTAGTAGTAAATAGCAGAGAGGCGATGCGAAGGCTGCGTTGTGGCGGTGCTGAAGCAGCGTCGTCCCATGTCTTATGGGCCGATTGGCGTGCGCCACATGCGCCTCGCCCGCCTGCCCGCCTGCCCACCTGCCCAACTACAATACACTACCCACTCACCGCTGATCTCGTGGACACTCTGCCAGAATATTGTCAAAGTGAGTGAGCAAAAGAAAAAAGCAGCCCTCACCAGAGCATGTGACCGAATGCGGCGACAGGGCCCTCTGCTGTCTCTGCAGGAACATGTGGCCCATCTGCGGTCGTCGTCATGGCAGCGTCATCGCACCGACGGCCAGGAACGACCTTTTCTTTTTTGTCCGTCAAGCGTAAGCGGCTCGCTCTCTTTCATACTGCTATTAATAGGGCTGGATGGCGGCGGGCCCAAGGCAAAGTAACAAAGGGACCCAAGGTGCGTTGCCCGGTTAGACAGCAACCCTGCATCTGTAGCCGTAGCCGGCAGACGTCGCGTAGTGGGGACGCGCCTGGCAACAGTGGTGGATCCCCCAAGCTGAGGCTGAGACTTTGCATGTGTCTCACAACCAGAGCCTCGCAATCCCAATCTCCTGTCGCTGCCCCTCGCTCTGTACGCCGACTCCTGACCACAGTCTTTACATCCATCTCCATCGTCTCCTGCCTGTCCGCTTTCCTACCGCTCCTGTTCACCGTTCGGGCCAGACGAGCCGCACAAGACAAAGCCGCTCGCAACTACTCGGGTCCCACCGCCGGCCTTTCCGACCGCCGTACCCACGTATTCCGCCGCCACAGGGCTGACTGACTTAGTTCCGTTGTGTTTACAGCCTGTTGTGTTTACAGCCTGGCCTCCCCTCCTTCCTTCAGCAAAGGCGACGGCGATAGTACCAGCGACAGACCTCTGTAGTAGCTTCCACCACCCACACCCCACACATACCACAAGATGCGGATACCACAGTCGTATATCCAGAAATGCAAGGTCGTAGCACACTGTTTCCAGGCCGTCTTCGTCTTTGTCGCAGCATGCTTGACCATAGCCGTCATGACCAAGGATGGAGACATCGGAGGAGGTACTAGGTACTTCTTCATAATGGTTAGTTGGATTCGACACCACCCCTGAGACTCGGCCTGACAATACCCAAAAAATAGTGCTTTCTTTCCATACCAGCCATCATCTACCTCACAATGGTGCCCATGTGGTCCCGTGCCCAAAAGTTTGCTTCGGCCTACGCCTTCCTCGCTGTCGACGTCCTGTACACAATTCTCTGGTTTGCCGCCTTTATTTCAGTCGCCATGTGGAACTCCGAGGGTATCAAGGAAGGCGCCGCAAAGGCAAAGGTCCCAGACGACAAGCGCAACTGTACAACCTTTATCTACGGCGACGAGGCAAAGTGCAAGGTCAGCAAGGCAGCTGTCGGCGTCGGTGTCATGGTCTTGTAAGTAGCAGTAGCACCAGCTCCCACACATTCCCCACCCAGACTAACACCACCCCACTAGCCTCTTCTTCGCCCTCACCACCGGTATCTCAGGCTACTACCTGCACAAGTTCCTCCGCGAAGGCGTAATGCCTTACCAATCCTCGTCCTCAAACCCACACTACGCCTCAGGCGATTCGGCCTACAACAACCCCAAAGACGCCGCCTGGTCCACCGAAATCGAAACCGCCCACGGCCGCAACTCCTCCGACTCGCTCGACCAGCGCACCGAACACGGCGGCAACCAGCAAGAAGACGAATACGCTCTGCTCCACTCCACCGAAACAGACGAAGGACGCCACCCGGGCCGCCCGCTTAGCTGGGGCGAGGATAGAAATGGCATGTATGGCCCTGGCGCCGGACGAACTGCACCCCCATACGCAGATTACAGCACCCACAGCAGAGGTCCCAGCGTTGTCGCTGGCGCCGACGCACTCAGTCCTAGTGGATATGAAGAGTACAGGAGCCAGACTACGCCGGGCCTGGCACCATTTACGGGCCTCAGTGGCATAGATAGACAGCCTAGTCATACGGGGAGCGGATACAGTTTTAGCGGCGGACCGGAACGGGTGTAACAATTGCAATTTTCTTTTCTTGCATTCTGGAATCAAGTTCATTAAAAAAAAGGGGGGGGGATTTGGCAAATTCTTTGGTTTTCCAGCGGATCTTTTGGTTACGTGGCATTGTTTAGCGATTTGAATTTCTTCTTGTTGTGCTAGGAGGGAGGGATATGTGTGTTTTTTGGCCAGTAAGATGTGGAGGGAGGAGGATATGTGCATTGTTGTTACATGGAGGTTTCGCTCCTTTTGATGGGTTTATGTGTATGCGATTTAGCGATGTCTCTCTGCTATCTCTTTTTTGACTCTCTGGCGTTTTTTTGGCACTGAAGAATAGATACGTATCGTATGTATGTAAAACGGACTTTTTTTGTCTGATGAGGTGTATGAATTACCGTGTGAATTGTATGTGTATACGTGAGTTGAAATAAAAAACGGTGCATAAGCATCATACAACAAATACATGCACAGTAGAACAAAAAAAGGGAAACCTATCCTCCCACTCCAAACGCCCACCAAATGCCATTCTCCCCCACAACATCATCCCACTCTCACACATACACACACACACACACACACACATCTAAGCCTTCCCCCTAATCCTCCTCTCAATCTCCTCCTTCAAACTCACAAGATCCTGCTCCGTAGCCTCAAACTCCAGTCCCTGCTTCACCCACGTCTCCGCCTCCTCGAGCCGACCCATTTCAAGCAAACACTTGCCCCTCCTCCACCACGCCTTCGCATTCCCCACTTTCTTCATCTCAACAGACGCTTCGGCGTCTATCGCGCCCTCGGCCCACTTCTGCTGCGCCATGTTGGCTTGCGCGCGGTTACTCAGGAGTCCCGACACTTCTTCGCGGACGAGGCCAGACGGCTCCCACGCCGGACGCGCGAGCGCCATGTCGATGGCTAGCGTGTACATCTTCGCGGCGGCATCGTGGTTGCCTTTGCGGAACTCGGCGTTGCCGTTTTCGCGGAGTTTGCCGATTTGCGCGGAGCGCTTGGGATTGACGGGGACTGGGGGTGGGGGTGTGCCAGTGGGCGTCTCGACGTGCAGGAGGTTGCGGTGGAGGTTATTGAGCGCTTCGAGTTCTTTTTCCACCACGTTGCTGGTGTTTTGGGGGGCGATGATCGAGTGTGTTGCGGGGTCGAGTTGGAGCGGGAGGAGGGTGAAAGTGTCGAGGGATTCCATGGTGAGATTTTTGATGCTTTCTTTTTCAATTGCAACTGGTAAAAAAGGAAGGGAGTGAGGTTATGGGTTGTGTGGCCTTTCAAGTTGCGCAAGCGGTGGATGTGTGGAGTACGAGACGATGAGGACAGTTTGGCCCGGGGAACAATTCCTTTATCGATAAGAAGACGCGCTAACACGTGTCTGGAGTGTTTGGATTTGAGTACGTCCATCGTACTGTCTAGCGCTGATCCATGTTCGTATTGTGTTCTCCGCTACTACACATTGATAACAAATAGTTTATTACTATGTAATAACCGTATGTCAGAGCATCATCTACCTGTATAGTGTAGCATCTAGTACAGTACAAATGTAAAACCGCATCGAGTCCGCCAACTTAGCTCGTCGTCCTACGTCTAGTCTTCTTCATGAAATTGCTGCTCATCATCCGTAAAGACCTTGGGAAGGTACAACTTGGTATTCTCATACACCAGAAATGTGACAACCGTAGTCGGAATCACGCGAAGCGTATTGGGAATAACGCCCTTGTAAAATGCCAGGAACCCCTCGTTCTGATACGTCTTCCTCAAGACATCCAGTAGTCCACTATACTGCTGTGCGGCGTTGTACTGTTGCAGTCTCGCCCTGATAGGCTGATATGGATACGTAATGGCACCCGCAAGCAGCTTGCTTCCACCACTCATGTATACGTATTCCCAGTTACTGAGTTTGTCTTGCCCGCCAATGTGTGAGGCTCTTCTCTTCTTCATATTCTCGTAAATGCTGAACTGAACAGCGCCGTGTAGGACACCGAGCGAAGAGGGCAAGAAGCCTGCCCAGAGGCCCTTCAGTCCACGCGTCTCGTATACATGGCGAAGTCCAACGGCCATGGACTTGTATGCGGAAGGATGGTTGGCACCTCGTTCAAGCATACGGGTCTTGACTACCCAGATGGGATTGGTACAAGCGCCGGTGAGCAGACCTAGAACAGGCGGTTAGTTCACACTCGCAGCATACGTAAGATCCAAACGTACCAGCAATGATGCTTGCAGAAAAGAACTCGGCGCTCCCAAGGTGCTCGCCCTTTTGCCGTCTACTCTGGAAAAGTTCTTTCAAGTTTCCGTAGAAAAGAAAATACAGGCCCCATCCGAGACTGTTGCCCAGGAGGTTTGGCCATAGTCCCCTATATAGAGCTCTTACACCACCCTCATCCTTGATCACATTCCGTAGTATGCGAAACGAGTCTCCGGGCCGCGATCTGCTGGTGGTATTGAGCTGGAGGCGATTTTTGAGGAGATCGAGTGGATGCGCCGCGAGGCAGGAAACAACTCCAGCGCTGAAGCCTGCTACACTTTCGATCACCGATGCGGAGAGGGCGCTTTGCGGCGCACTTGATCGCTTGCTGTGGACATCTTGTTCTACTGGTGGGAATGCGCGGGGCATTGCTGGTTTGAGTGATGAATTTGCGATTTCTCCCAGAACATCCTCGGGTACAGGAGGCGACGCTGAAGGTGCTGGATAAGTAGGATGCAAGATGAGGGGTTTCTATGCTATATCATTGCGTCGACGTAGGTCTTTCATTGTCATGTCCGCATTGGCGAACATAGAGGGGAAAAGACGGCGGTGGACTCGGTGAAAGCTTGGGCCCGGCGTCGGAACCAGGGACGTCATCGGCGCATGGCTACCCGTCCCGCGGCCCATGTGCATGCAGCTTGTAGCATGCGATATGCAATCAGGGCTTCCCTGTGAGCTGAGCTAGCATGGTAAGACAGCATTCTGTGATTTAACACGTATCGGTACGACGCTTGGAGCCGAGCCGCGGAGAAAATATCAAACTTATCTCTAGACTATCACAAGACATGTCAAATCCGTAGCATGCTTTTCATTAATGTCATAACATTACATATACACATATCGTAACTCTCCCAGACCTCCAATCTTAGATGCCTACACCGAACTTCTGATCAGAGCAACATGTTGCTGGTGGAGCCTCCGTCTTCTTCTCTTCTCCAAACGCCATTCGACTCAGCTTATCAACAAGTGTATTACCCTGCCTCACTCCGCTTGGTACGCTGCAATAGCTAGGTGGAATATCCAAGCATGGATTGCGGGTAAAGAAGTTGCGAGGTCGCAGTAGTAGTGTCATTGGCTCAGCTGGCATGACGGGGAAATCCTCTGGAGAGGGGAAATGCGTGATACCGAACGTGTGCCACAGGACAACGTCAGTGTTGTCAAGGTTCTCATTCGGGTTCGCTTCAATCCAGGCTGGAATTCCTTGCGAGGGCTCGCCAGAAGTTTGAGGAACATGGCGTCCTGCTGGGTGAATCTGGCTGTCATCATCTAGATAGTACATGTCAGTATCTGCTGCACGTGTTCGGGATGGTACCGAGAAACTTACACTTAGTCACATGCACAGCATGTCTTGCAAACCCTGCCCTCTTCC